CAAGTATTAAGTATTTACTTCACTGGATTATACAAAGATAGACATTACCACACAATATTATTAAATCTTTAAACCATTTTACTGGTTGAATTTCAGGAAAAATAGCTATAATATATTATAAAATATATATCCAAACAAACTTTTTTCCATATTCAAAATGCTTTAAAATATATAGTCATATAACATAACATTAAGAGCATCCATATCATTAAAATTGCAAAAGAAAACCAAAACCACGAGAGACAAGACATTTTTGGATTGGGCAACATGCTGGTAAATCAGCAAACTGACGTTCTTATCAGCGTTTCATAAGGCGCAAAACATCTACAGATGCCACATTCCGGAGATAAACGGGCTGTAAAGTGGAAATAATGCAGTCTTGGGTTGTTTAAAGAGCCATTATTACTTAGATAAGTTCAGCCGTAACACACCCCACACTCACACCGGCCAAAGAGCAGAAGATTTCACCAACACCGATTATATTCTCTGCTAATCGAGCGCTGAATCTGAAGGTTAGAGGATGTTTCTGAGCGTGTGAATCGCCACAAGACTCCATTCACGTCTCTGCTAATAAAACCGCACACATACGAGCTGCTGTGGTTTGAGTCCCTTCCAAAGTTGTTTCATATCAAAGGCCCTTGACAAGCGACACGGCACGACTTCTTTCCAATGTTTGTCTTTCCTTTGGATCAGAAAGCGCGTCCCTCGAGCCGAACGGAGGGAACTAATGGCTTAATTTAAAACGCAATAATTTTTACGACGTCAGGCGCGCTCGCAGGACTCTCTGACACACCTTTGGCTTCATACGTCCACACATAAATAATTCCACACGCAGCAGATGCTTTCCCGAACAGAGCCGGCCTTTCAGCTCGCAGACGCTGGATTTACAGCCGGGTGTTTCCCTCTGTCCGTTACCCAATCACCGATACATAAATACTCTCCAATAGGACGATAAAAACTCCAGAAAGCTTAATTTCACTGTTTCGATGACCTGCACTGACACACTGTTATTTGGGACATAAACCTACTAAGTTTCAAAAAGCGGCTTGGATAAATAAAAGAGACCAAGTATTCTTTACTAATCTAACAAACTGATTCATTACTAATTATTTGAGCATCTGAATTATTTGAGCGGCATGAAAACAAACCTGACGATGAACACATTCTCCAGCACGAGTTGAGATGTTCTTCAGAGCTTCTTGTTTCTCTAAATGGCCAGATATCACTAATTAGTCGCCTAAAAGTAATATGTCAGAACGTTACTTTGTTGTTTATTCCCCAGTTCAAATAAAATAATTCTGTATTTTCAGTATAGATAGAATGATAGAACAATAGAGTGAGAGACAGACGGATGAACAGAACTAGGAAGGAAGGATGGAACGATGGATGGATGGATGGAAGGAAGGAAGGATGGAACGATAGAACGATGGATGGATGGATGATGGAAGGATGGATGGATGGATGGATGGAAGGATGGAACGATGGATGGATGGATGGATGGATGGATGGAAGGATGGATGGATGGATGGAAGGATGGAAGGAAGGAAGGATGGAACGATGGATGGATGGATGGATGGATGGAACGATAGAACGATGGATGGATGGATGATGGAAGGATGGATGGATGGATAGAACGATGGATGGATGGATGGAACGATGGATGGATGGATGGATGGATATACAGAAGGATGGATGGATGGATGGAAGGATGGAAGGAATGATAGAACGATGGATGGATGGATGGATGGAAGGAAGGATGGAACGATGGATGGATGGATGGATGGATGGATGGAAGGATGGATGGATGGATGGAAGGATGGAAGGAATGATAGAACGATGGATGGATGGATGGATGGAAGGAAGGATGGAACGATGGATGGATGGATGGATGGATATACAGAACAACAGATAGATAGATAGATAGATAGATAGATGGAAGGATGGATGGATGGATGAATGGATGAATGGATGGGCAGAGATAGATAGAATGATAAATGGATAGAGATGGATGGATAGAGAGATGGATGTACAGAATGATAGATGGATGGACAGAATGATAGATAGAAGAATCAATAGATAGAGCGATAGAACGATAGATAGAATGATGGATGGATGGGTGGATGGATAGAATGATAAATGGATGGATGAAGAGAGAGATGGGTAGATATATGATGGATATACAGAACAACAGATGGATGGACAGAATGAGAGACAGAAAGATCAATAGATGGAACGATAAAAAAACGATAGAATGATAGAACGATAGATAGATAGATAGATAGATAGATAGATAGATAGATAGATAGATAGATAGATAGATCGATAGATAGAACAGATGGATAGATGGATAGATTAATCACCTAAAAATCACACGTCAGAACTTTTCTTTCTTTTACATTTTTCTAATTCCTAAACAGCATTTATTCCCAGGTTTTTTCCTTAATGTTCCTGTGTTTTCCGACTCTCTGGTTCCTGCTGTAGCTTCAGATCACTCACTCCTCAGCTCTGCTCTGAGTGATGGTTTATCTGAGTGACTGCAGAGGAACTGAGGGCAGCAGCTCGGCGTGTGAGGCTGGCATTTGGTCAGCAGGACAGTGCAGAGGGGGGCTGCATGTTTTTGCAGCTGACCAGACCTCCCATTTTCACATGAAAGACCTGCGAACACACACACACACACATGGCCTCTGGACACTCTTTATGGAGCACCAACAACAATCGCTTTCTATTCCTGGAGCTTCCCAGCCAGTTCAACCAGCCCTTTATCAAGCTCAGCCTGTCACGGCACTTCCTGCGCAGACAAAAGACTTCGCCAGCTTTCTCCATACATCCCTTTTGATGTTAAGAAAGATGTTCCCCTCAAATCATTAACGGCTAGCTGCCAAATGGCAACATCATAAACCGTCACAAGTGCATTTATCTTTGCATGCATGTCAGCTTGTTTGGGTTGCATGGCAAGTTTCACGCTTTAGATGCATGCATTAACCTTGAACACACTCGTGTGCATTCAGATGCAAGCAATGAGGAAACATTAGAAGGAGAAAAGCCTCTTGCTGAGCTCTGAGGAAACTAATACGGTGTAGATGCAGGACTTCTGACAAAACAAGAACGTAAGAGCAACACAAACCCCTCACTTTCTAACAAGGAATCATGTGTTTTACTGCATGCTCTCATACAAGCTGGAGATTAAGGATCAGCCAAAATGCAATGAAGTCCCAAAATAATGCCCTTTAAACAAACATTAAACCAGTTTCAATGTCTAACAAGGTACAACCAATAAACGCAAAAATGCAATTTGTTTGCTACTATTCAAGTAGACTATATCATATATGTTATGAGAGAAGTTGAAGAGTATACATCATGTACAGCCCAAAATTTTTTTATTTTTTGGCATTTTCATGACAATCAAGCACTTTCTACTAAATAAAAATAAAAACAAAATTCAAATTACATTAATAAGAATATGGGATGGAAATGTGTTTAAATGTCATTTAAGGGGAAAAAAAAACATTTAAAATTTTTTGACAATTAAGCACTTTATCCTCATTATTGCAAAAATAAATAAATAATTCTA